CAATCAGTCGCAGTTCCTCAAGGGCCAACTGGTAGCCAGGCCTTATCCCAATGCGTGCCAATGAGGCCATAATCGAAGGTGCTTAACACTCTTTTAAAGGCCACTATCACTTCTCAGACAAAGTTGCAACACAGACTGCGAGGACACCATCAGTCCGCTCCAAATGCCGGGGTTCGCCCCGAAGCGGGGACATTCAGCGCGCTGGAGATCAACCAACAGTGAAAGCCACCCGAGAAAACAACTCCTGGTTTTGTTCACAATGAACCCTCCTCCGGGTGGATTGCAAAATTACGCCCTTCTTATTGTGTTCTTCCTTGGGGATTTCAATGGGCGTGAGTAGACGGTGACACCGCTGAAGTCACCGCTACAAAACCATGTACCATCAGGTTAGTTCAATTTTTTTGAAGAAAATGTAGGCAAACGCCTTTGAGCTCCATATTGGTAACACAGTGGCAAATAAATGTATAGATACAGCAGACAAATTCAAAAAAAGGTCGTGTACCCAATTACAAACAAAAAGTGAACAGTCGTCATTTAGTCTAAAAGAGTAAACATACACGTCTACTTGCTTATTTCAAGTAATAAAATAATTATGGCTCCTTCGTAAATGGTACCTCGCCTTACCAGCTATGTCAGATTACACGTGCCAGTACGTGGAACAAAGGAAAAAGAGCAGACAGTGGAAAAACTCTCTAGGCACTGTTTGGAAACTACACAGGTTGGGATATCAGGTTAGGAATTTTAAGAAGAAGACTGCCGCGCATGAGAGGAAAATATATGCGAGATAGGACTGCCCTGCTGATGAAAATATATGAGGCAAGATAGGGGAAGTCCATCGTGGACATTTTGAGTATACTACGGATCACATGAGGAAAGAACCGTAATATAACGTTAGTGTCGGAGCTGCAACTATGATACGCCCTTGTTGCTTGCCGAATCTTCCGACTAGGTGACAGGAAAGAATAACCTATCGCAAAGGTGTTAAGGCTACTCAGGTTTAACCCTAAAGGCTGCGATCTTCCAGGCTCGGTTCCCTAGGAGATGAGAGAAGTCTTGGAAAGCCTGAGCAGTAGGAAGAATATAGTGTTTACAGAATGAGTTGAAGAATAGTTCATAAGAAGGTTGACTTGGTCTGGCGTAGCTTTGACCGTGAGAGCCATGAGTGAGAGCAGCGGCCTATCGTACGCCGCGCACCTGGGCGAAAGGCCGAGTGAATCCGCCTTGCTTGCTGTGTGGCTTAGTGTGAAGCTACAG